AGCACACAGGGGTAGAGATTAAAAAAGTTTCTGCATAAAAAGAGAGGGAGGGAGGAAGAGATGAGCATAAAGGGAAAGGAGGGGGAGGAGGATTGAGGGAGAGACAGAGGAGATGGAAATACAGAGTAATAAAAATTAGAGGGGGGGGGTGAGTGTTTAGGTTGTGCAGGAGTGAGGGTCCGCCTGGCAGGAGGCTGGTCAGCTCCTCTTAAGGCTTTTTTTTCATCTAGATAATGGAGCATTTGGTTAATTGGCAAAGCGCAGTTTAGGCCGAGCTTTTGTTTGCCAACACGTCACAGCAGAATTATTTCCACTACATTTACAGCAGAGTGTTGCTCTGCTTCCTCTCATTAAAGCTTCCTGACCAGATTGAGCTTTCTGCAGAAATCTGCAGGCAGAGGCCAAAAAACCGCTGCAGCAAAATAAAAGAAGAGAGGAATAAAACCCATTTATCTCCTATCTCACCATCCGCAGCCGCCTTGTAAAGGAACAGACAGAAACTTCTCTATCTGTTTACCGTTATTGTTTTTTGCCACTCATAAAGCTCTTACTTCTGGCTGCTTCTTTTCCCTCCTCCTCTCTTATCAAAAGAGTTATGCGTCGCGCTCGCATGATCTGTATCTGTAAATTTGATTGAGGGTATTTGCAGGGGGTTGTTATTGGATTGTGCTGTTATTGTCTCACCTTTTTCTCTGAGTGTTTTTAATGCCGGGGATGGATATCCGCTCCAGCAGCACTGATCTCACCGTTCTGCTCATTAGGCCGAATTCTCAGAGACTAGTGCTTCGCAAACAATAAGACACGCACTTCTGTAGTCCAGCCATTACCCAGTTTAACAATGTGCACAAGCCGGAAAAGTCCATTATTTCTGCAGCTCATCATCCCAAGCATCCACACGAGACAAAGGGGCTGTGAAACCGCCTCGGTGCGAGGGCCCATCAATCACTAAAGTCAGGAGTGGAGAAGGCGAGGAGGGGGGGGTGGGAACATGTGGTGCACATACCCCATACTGGGAGTTCTGGCAGCATATGGGAGCAGCTGTAAGACTTCAGCAGCTTAAGGGGGGAAAAGTGTTATCTTTAATAAAAGTTTCTGAGTCAGCATAAAAGAATAACATTTAAATGAGAATGTAATCAAAACTTTGTGGATGGATTCTGGTCCATAACTACACAACAAGCTTAAAAAGAAAATGGTTCCGCATTCCTTCATGCTGCTGGATTATAAAATCCATTTATTGGGAAGATTTACTGATGTTGAAGTAAAAAACAAACATAAAAAAACATGAATTAAACTGATTTGTACATTTAAAGAGCAGAACATTAATTGTTGACTAGTTAAATCCAACAAAAACAGAACATGACTTTATCTTTTCTCATTGTTCTCCTTTCTTTCCAACCTTCTAACATATTTCTGCACATACCTGTATGCATCATCTGGCTTTGACAATTATCAGCCTTAATGTTTGATAACAGCAGGAATGATTAAAGAGGTCAGTGAACAGTAGTGCGCATAGGTGGAGTTTCACTTTTGCATCAGCGGGGTGCAAAAATATTTTTTTTCACACAAGTGATTAGACAATTTTCAACATAAGTTGTTACATTACTGTATACAGTACAACGTAGGTGCTAGGAGTGTTCATTTAAAGAAAGTCTTAACCCAGGTGTTTCCAGATCAACATTTGTTGGTACACTGAAAAAACAATCTAAAAATAAGTAAAAATATCTTAAATTAGGTATATTTACCTGTAATTTGAGTAGGTAAATGAGATAGTTTGCCAATGGAATGAGCATTTTTACTCTTAAAGTAAGATAATTAGATAAAATACACTTGAAATAAGACAATGTTGTTATGTTTTCTTATTTTAAGTGCAAAATGTCTATTTTACCTCCTTAATCTAAGAACGAATGCATTTTATTAAAGAAAAGATGACTTGTCTAGATTTCGATTTTTTTCCAGTGTACTGGCTCTGGTTCGAATTCTTGCAGGGTGTTGGCAGAGGTCATGGGATGTTTTAAAAATGTTGAATATCCATTTGCAGTTTTCACTCACTTACATGAGGCAATTCTATGCTTTAACATTTATGTACAGGCTAGCGAGATTGATAATGAGAGGGAAACCACCAATTACACTGCAAAAACGATCTAGAAATAAGTCAAAATATCTTAAATTAAGTGTATTTACCCTTAATTCAAGTAGGTAAATAAGATGATTTGCCAGTTGAATGAGGATTTTTACACTTAAAATAAGGTAATCAGATAATATACACTTGATATAAGACAATTAATTTGTGTTTTTCTTATTTTAGATGTAAATTGTCTTGTTCCATTGGCAAAGTGTCTCACTTACCTCCTCAATTCAAGAAAGAATGCACTTATTTTAGGAAAGAAATGACTAATCTAGATTTCCATTTTTTCCATTGTAGCGGACGGAAACAGTAGTCAACGTCATTATGTCACATGATTGCAGAAAAATAAATCTATTACAAAAATGTACTAGGATTCGTATTAATTTCATACTTGCATGTATTTTAATCAAAACATTGCAAATATCATTACTTATATATTTTTAACATATATATTTTGCCATTTCCTTGACTTTATGTCATTACATGTTTCAGGCCACCAGGGGGGACAGTGCCCCCCCAAAAACTCCGCCCATGGTAGTGCGGCTTGTTCAACAATCTTCCTCCTGGTTTTTTTCCTCTAAAGCAGAGCATACTCTGTACTTATTGACACCTCGGTCTGCTGGTCTCGGTTTGCCATCACAACCAGAAAGCAAAGAATGCTGCGTTTAGCAGAGCAGCGCTGCCTGTCACTACCCGATCCGTCCCAGAAGCACGATCCGAACCATCAGCTCATTTCCACATCCAGACATACATCTGGGTCACCCTTTGATTTTATTTAGTAAAAATTATGTTTTTTTTCCTCCCCAAAAATAGTGAGCGTACTAAATTATAATGTGATAAATGTTAATAATGTATTTACTAAGAAAATAAATGCATAAAAATCCTTTTTGTTTTATCTCTCTGTGCCTGATCTGGGATCTATGCTACTTCCGGTGGCTAACTTTTTTTGGCTTTGGAGTTGAACATAAATCTAGTCTTTTTGACGTTTTATGTTTTCCTATCTTGATAAACTTATGGTATATAGTCTCTTATTTAAAGGCAGAAACAACTAAAATGCAGATTAACATGGTTGTTTCATATTTTGCGGCTCTGCTCTGAGCATGTCCCATGATGACGTCAGTAAAGCAGTTAAACGGAGAAAATGCATAAAAAATCAAAAATGTATCAGAAAATTCATAAAACTTTTTTTTTTTTTAAGTTGTGTATTAGTATTCTTTAGTGAGTTAAGGATAGAAATAAGTAATTTTAGACCATAATTACACTATTTATGGAAACGGACGATCGTGCTTCCAGGACATTTATGTTCAAAATAAGTGCATTTTTTCTTGAATTGAGGAGGAAAGTGAGACACTTTGCCAATGGAACAAGACAATTTACATTTAAAATAAGAAAAAAACAATTGTTTTGTCTTATTTCAAGTGTATATTATGTAATTATCTTATTTTAGGAGTAAAAATACTCATTCTATTGGCAGATCATCTCATTTATCTACTCAAATTAAGGGTAAATACACTTAATTTAAGACATTTTTTACTTATTTCTAGATGTTTTTTGCAGTGTAGTGACAGTGCACTGAAAAAATTATCTAGAAATAAGAAAAATGTCCTAAATTAAGTGTATTTACCCTTAACTTGAGTAGGTAAATGAGATAGTTTGCCAAGGGGATGACTATTTTCACTCTTGGAATAAGATAATTAGAAAATATACACGGAAATAAGACGATGCAATTGCTTTTCCTTATTTTAAATGTAATTTGTCTCGTTCCATTGGTAAAAATGACTCACTTTCCTCCTCAATTCAAGAAGAAATTCACTTTTTTTTTAAAGAAAAAATGGCTTATGTAGTTTAAAATATTTTGCTGGGTGCTAAACGTTTACAATTCTAGCGCCCCTAGTGGCTAACAGTTGCAGTGTTGATTTAAAGGTGTGAAGCAATCATTGAAACTACATCCAGATGGAATAAAAACTGAACAAGGAAATTAAGGCTGAACGATTTTCCCGAAAACCTAAATTGCGATTTTATTTTTTCCTTGTAGATGTTTCGGCCCAAGCTTTCATTTTTTCAATGCTCGTTTGCCCAAAAATCCATAATTGCAGGACTTTACTGTAATGTTTTTGTGAAAAACTGCTTACTTCTTCTTGTCTGCATGAATCTGCTACTTTTCTGTGTGACGCCTAACCCACTCGGAGCATTTTAACCCCATTGGAGTTTGAAATTTAGTGTCTTAATGTTGTTAAATACAGTGTGATTAAAAAAAGTTGTGCTTTTGTGATCAAATTGCAAATGCAATTAATTGCCCAGTCCTACCATGAAATCAAACATCTTTACTCTTTTTAAGCCGATTCTGGAAAAGCTTAATAATGAATGTTTCCAGAAATAAAAAAACCCATGAAACCTGACTTTAAAGCTTTTTTTTTTCTGTAAGTCTGACCCACTAACCTGAGACAAGAAGAGGGGCAGGCATAGTGAGAGGCAGCAGAGTGAGACGCAGCTTTCTGCTGCTGGAAGTATGAAAGCCAGGGAGCAGCTGCTGGTTTAACAGACCTGTCACTGAAATCAAAGGGCCTAATCAAAATTTGATCAATTAATTGATCTTTCCTCTTGTGCTTTGAGATTCCCCCGGACTCGCGGCCCTCCGACTGGAAGCTGCTCCCAACAATGTAAACTATGTTCATTAGTGATGATCAAGGATTCCTCTAATGTAAGCTGAGACGTGATATGATGGCTGCTTCTTCTCGGCTCTGAAGGCAACCCTCCCGTTTGCCCCTTCAGTCTCGGGGGTGGAACCCTCATGCCTTTTAATGCTGCTCATGTTAGCCTAACAAAGTGTTTTAGCTTTAACTTTCTCTCCCCTCCTGCTGTGTGTTTCTCTCAGGGTAACCAAGAGGCCACCAACCCTCCTGAAGCGATGGCCCAGCCCTACACCCCAGCTCAGTACCCGCCTCCCCCACAGAATGGCATCCCTGCAGAGTTTGCGGCACCGCACCCGCTCCCGACACAGGACTACACCGGGCAGAGCCGGGTGCCCGAGCACGCCATGACCCTGTACACGCCCACACAGACGCACAGCGAGCCGGCCGGCACTGACAACAGCACGCCCACCATCACCGCCACCACGACCGCACCGGTCAGTGCCCTCCATCACCTGCAAACACTGTTCTCAACATGCAGTCAGCAAGTAAAATATATTCTTCTTTATACCTTTCATGTTTATGATTGACTGTTTGTGATTCTTTTTGTGCTACTGACTAAAAATCTGAGATAAACTGATAAGGGGGTAAAAATTCACAAGTTCGATTGTTCACAGCCTCTGCCTGGAAATATTTCTGAACTTTAGCGCAGAGGGAACCCGTTCTGTTTCCAGAAAATTCCAGGGTTGCAGATGTGGAGGTGCATCTCACTAAATAAACATAGCAAAAAGGCAAACCTTTAAAGTCGTAGGGAAGTCATTTAAATTTGAAATCATTCTGCCTTAAATGTGTATATAAATGTGTTCTTTATCAGACCACATTATCCCAAAATTTAGAAAATTTCTATTTAAAATGAAATCCTGTCTCAAAATCTGTTGTTTTTTTGTTATCTTATTCAGGCCAGTTAGTTTTTAGCCTGAACACCTAAATTCGGCCAATCATATATCAACGGTCATCTGTCAATCAAATTTTTTCGGTCATAGCATCTTGATTCATATGTCGCAGCTAATATACGCAACGGTTGAAATCAGAAATCAGAATCCTTTCCTTTCCCATTGAGTTCCATCCCAGTGTTCACGGGGATGGACGTCTGTGTCTTCGGCAGGCGTAGAGCTAACAGAACTGGCAGCGTTGCGAGGCAAGGGCTCAAACATGTACGGCTGGAAGCCTTCTACACATAACCAAGCTTCTGCCGCCCTGGCGTCCTCTTCCACAACATCTTCGTCCCTAACCTGACTCCGTCAGATGGATTTGCTCCGCATATCCATCTGGAAACCCTACCGTTGAAGTAATTTTGGGAATGGGCGAAAATACTGGTTAGCTGATTGGCCTATGTTGGTGATAGACGGGCCAAATAAACCAATCAGATCAACGAAGCATATGACGTACTAACAGAGCGACGACGAAGAGGAGCCAATTGATAGATCAAACTCTGCCCAAAACCAGTATGGAGAAGAGCAAAACCATGTTTTCCTCTGAGAAAAGCCTCCAGAGCAGTGTTTTGCTCTTCTTTTAGCGAAGAAATACTCTGTAATTCCGATAAAACTTGCTCGATAGCCACGCTAACGCTAGTTTCATCGACTGAAGCCGCCATGTTCTTTAGACTGAACTGTCGCGCTTCTCGTTGCGTCACACCTCAACCCGCCTCAAAGCCAACGCTGATTGGACGTTCGTTTGGTGAACGGCTCCAAATTTTCTTTAACGGAGAGTCTCCAGACTGATCTGCAAGTGAAACCTTGAAAGCTCGCGAGATCAGGATGGTCTCATGAGGCTACTTCATCCCTGCTTTCCTCCTCTAAATAAAAACTGGATGACGGAGGAGACTCATCCACTCTCCTCCTCTCGCATGTTTCCGCTGTCCATAGCGTTCCTTGACAGCGTCGTTTCTAAGTCACCAATTTAGTGCTACTTGGTCCCAATGGAATTTCCCATTGGGAACCTACTAGCACTAAGTTGCTAACTGGTTAGCAAGATGCTTCCCACAAACCGGCCACAACCAAAAAGCTTGTGAACCTTCCGCCACAACAATCCCGCCCCCTTGATAATCGACCAATCACATTCACTTTATTCACTTGTGTAAAGTCGGCAACACTTAGGAGAATTCTAAAATGCAACGTTTGGAACAGCTTCCCTACGACTTTTATAATTATGATAATAATTGAACTTTATTAATATCACATTGGAGAAATTTCCCTCCACATTTAACCCATCCTCTGGGGGAGCAGTGTGGGGTTAAGGGATTTGCTAAGGAACCCAGAGTGCAGGCTGTGGGGATCGAACCGGGTACTTGCAACCTTCTCAGACTTCATCTGTATTTTAAACAGAATTAGTAAAATGATGATAAAATCTGTGATACTTTTATTTATGTAAGATGTTGTCCTATCCTGAGCAGAAATGGCCGAGTGACGTAAAATTGTTAGGATTATTTCTGAAAGAAAAGGGGTTTGGTTTGATTACAGCAAACAGACCAGTTAAAAAAAAAAAGATTTACTGAAGGAGTTTGACAACATGAAGCAAAATCTTGGCCGATTTTCGCCCCCAAAAAGCTCTCTGACCTGTTATTGTTCTTTAGAGAAATGAAGTTTTACTTTGCTGATTCCTGCGTAAAAATTAGCTGCATTCAGCCGTTACATTAGCTTTAATGACACGTCACATAAATCATAATATAATGTGTTTGTACATGGCTTTAAACAAGGTGTGCAAACAGATTGTTTCAGGAGACTTTAGAGAATTATTTTCTGCATAATTTAACATGCACATGTGGCCCCATCTGTATTAGTGTAATATGCATTTTTAATTGTCTTCTCTACCCACCATATTGTAGCTTTATTATGTCAACATAAGTTGCATATAGGAGTTTTGCACACTGCCTCAGAGAATTGCTGCTTTCGTATTTTTCTCCATTGCTTGTGCTCCAAGCCTCCATCTACGACGGCCCGATAAAGCCTTACCGTCAACGAAGTGTCTAAACATCCACTTTATGCTATTGAATGTTTATATCAGGGGTAAAAATCCGTGGGGTCGGAATAAAGAAAAGCAGAGACATTTTTAAATATAATCCGTTTTTTTTGTATGCATCCATGTTATACATTGAATTTAAAAAAAAAAAAAAAAAAATATATATATATATATATATATATATATATATATATATATATATATATATAAAGAAAATTTTTCCATTTTAAACACTGGAAAAATGATCTAGAAATAAGTAAAAACTTCTTAAATTAAGTGTATTTACCCTTAATTTGAGTAGGTAAATGAGGTTTTTTGCCAATGGAATAAGTATTTTTACTCTTAAAATAAGATAATTAGATAATGCGCACTTAAAATAAGACAATGCAATTGTGTTTTCTTATTTTAAGTGTAAATTGTCTTGGTCTATTGGCAAAATGTCTCTTTTAACTACTCAATCTAAGCAAAAATGCACTTATTTTAAGAAAAAATAACTTTTCTAGATTTTGATTTTTTCCAGTGAAATCTTAAGTGTTTTTTGAAGTAGAGAAGAACAATTCAGTTTGGTTTATAGACAATTTCCTGATTCTCATATTTTATCAAACAGCTGAACTGACCATTTTTTATTTTTCTTTCTTTTTTCTGTCTTAATGTTGGCAGTGGGCTTTATGCTGCCCTGCAAGGCTTTAAACCTGGGTTTGAATGGAGACTAAGCCATTCTCACTCTGGAAAAAAAAATGAAATCTAGATAAGCCATTTTTTTCTAAAATAAGTGCATTTGTTCTTGGATTAAGGAGGTAAAAGAGACATTTTGCCAATGGAACAAGACCATTTACATTTAAAGAAAGAAAAAATGATTGCATTGTCTTATTTCAAGTGCATATTATCTAATTATGTTATTTTAAGAGTAAAAATACTCATTCCATTGGCAAAAAACCTCATTTACCTACTCAAATTAAGGGTAAATAGACTTAATTTAAGAAATGTTCACTTATTTCTAGATCGTTCTTCCAGTGCAAGCACTCAACTCAACTTTATTGTCAAATGTGCTACACGGTAAACATACAACACAGATGAAATTGCAGTCCTCTCAACCCCACGGTGCATAATAAAATACAATGAACCATAGCACAAAAAATAAAAAATAAAAACCTAAGATATAAAAATAAATATAGGTATCTGCTCGGATAACTAAAAATCTAACAACGAACTAGTTTAAATACTAAAGAAGATTACAAATGTGCAGATGGGAAGTGTAACTTTGTAAATTTTAAGAAAGTAACATTACAGCGGTCCTGATGGATGACTGATGCATCTGGATCCAGATTTATTGTTGATTCTGTTCATGGTGGAGAATCCTGCTTCACAGCAGCAGGTTGAGCCAAACATCCTCTAAATGTGCAGGGTCATCTTTGAGCACGCCATTTCACTTTTCTTTCACCAGTTCACCGCAGTTCTTCCAGCAGTCCACACTTTCTCTGCTCTCTTTTTCTCATGGTCTTCTCCTTCTTTCCCATCGCCCGGCTTGCCACAGGTTTGCCTGCTGTGTCTAAAAGTAGCAGCAGCAGCAACCCAGACTGACAGCTCATTGGCTCATTTGGATCACGTGCAGCCTGGAGCCGGACGCTCCCCAGGGCTTTACCGTATTAACAAGAGAAGAGGAGCAAGTGAAGTTAGACAATGTCGTCAGACAACATGCGGTAATTTATAAATGTTTTAAACCAGGTTGGTCCGGATCCGGACCGCGTCCCACTAATCCGTGACCTCTGGTTTATATAATTCCAGCTGCTTGAAAGAAAAATATGTAGAAATAAGGAAGGACTTACAGGATTTTTTACAATTTTCAACATTTTAACAAGCGTAAAAACATATGAGGCTTTTGTAAGATATTATTCCTGATTCCATATTTGCTCATAGACTTGCATAAACATGCTCATAGTAAATAAATCATAAAATAAAACAAATGATTGAAGATGAGTTTCAACGTGCAGGTACAGTAAACTATGAGCTGCAAGGTCGTTATTTAAAAATATTACACCAGCTTGACCCCATACGCCTGTGGAAAATTTCGATCAATGCCTAAATTATTATGCACATTACTATTTGTGCATAGAAGACATTTAAAGTTTTTTTTTTTTTTAAACGACAGTAAATAATCTAAACAGTTTAACACATTTATCCTTAAGGGAAAAGTGAAATGTCTGTTTCTGCTCTCTGGGGTTTTATGAACGGATCAGGAACTACGGCTGCAACTAACAATTATTTTGCAAATCAGTTAATCTGTTGATTCTTTTTTTCCAATTAATAATGGGATAGCAAAAAGGTTCCTTAAAGGAGACTTTTTACGAAATTAAACCAGGTTTAAACTAAAACTTTTCCACTTTAAGAGTTCTGGATAGAAATTATTGACTATTAAAGATTTTTTTCTATCTTACCTGCAAAATGTTCATATATATATATATATATTTACAATTTTGTTATAATTACTGCTCTACACTGCAAAAAATTTATATCTAAATATGTCTTTTTT